GATCCCATCGAAAATCTGTGGGGGGAGCTGAAGGTTCGAGTTGCCAAATGTCAGCCTTGAAACCTTAAAGGACCACTCTAGGCACCCAGACCACTTCAGCTTAATGAAGTGGTCTGGGTGCCAGGTCCTTCTAGGGTTAACCCATTTTTTTATAAACTGCTATGTTTATTAATGGGTTAAGCCTTCCCCCTAATCCTCTAGTGGCTGTCTCATTGACAGCCACTAGAGGCGCTTGCGTGCTTCTCACTGTGATTTTGTAAATGCTTTCCTATGCGACGGGCTGAATGCGCTCTTGCCGCGCGTGCGCATTCAGCCCAGGAGGAGGAACGGAGGAGGAGAGCTCCCCGCCCAGCGCTGGAAAAAGGTAAGTTTTAACCCCTTTCCCCTTTCCAGAGCCGGGCGGGAGGGGTCCCTGAGGGTGGGGGCACCCTCAGGGCACTATAGTGCCAGGAAAACGAGTATGTTTTCCTGGCACTATAGTGGTCCTTTAATGACTTGAAGAGGATCTGCTAAGAGGAGTGGGACAAAATCCCTCCTGAGATGTGTGCAAACCTGGTGGCCAACTACAAGAAATGTCGTACCTCTGTGATAGCTAACAAGGGTTTTGCCACCAAGCGCTAAGTTGAAGGGGTCAAATACTTATTTCACTCATTGACATGCAAATCAATTTATAACTTTTTTGACATGCGTTTTTCTGTATTTTTTGTTATTCTGTTTGTTAAAATATACCTACAATTTGAAAATTTATTTAGGTATTTAATTCAGCATCATAATTTTCACTGTTTATAAAACCACCAATAGACTTTTTGATGCTTTACCACATATCTATTTCCTGCTTGAGAATACAACAGCAAATAGGCACATCTGCATGTTTCCTCCGTGACTGTGAAAATTCAGATTCTTTTAATTTTTTTAGAAACATGATGAGAAAACTCTCCAGGTAAAAGTGACACAGTAGGCACCAGGACCAGTTAAGCTTACTGACATGGTACCTGGAGCCCACAGCACACGGGCCCCATCTCGCACGTCAAAGTGTTATCTTGGCGTTTCACAGAGCTGAAGGATCCTTTGGCGGTTACAGCTTCTGGTGAAGATGAGAGTAGCTCCGCCCGCCTTGTGCGGTTTGACAGTGACACAAGAAACTCTACAGACTCCTGGTACCATAACTACTTTAATGAGTTGAAATGGTTTTAGTGAATTTGGTGCCCCTTTATGTTAATGGTCCCTTAAAAGACAGCCACTAGAGCATGACTTAACCCTGCAAGGTAATTACTGCAGCTTATAAAAACTGCAATAATTACACTTGCAGGGTTAAGGATGATGGGAGTTGGCACCCAGACCACTCCAATGGGCAGAAGTGGTCTGGGTGCCTGAAGTGTCCCTTTAACAGTCTTTTCTTTGATTCCTTCTTTTTATTTGAAAGAAGGGATGCATGGCCCATGGCATCAATGTAGGCCAAACAGCAATTTTGTGGTTAACTGCTGTTTAGAAATACCTCAAAAATACATTTATGTAAATATAAGCAATTTGAATTTATTTGTTCTTAGTTGAAAGAAATATTAGAGGGAAAATATGTCAGACATTATATGGTATGCCTTATTGGGCAATATATTTCACACATAAACACTAGTACTTGCGACAAAAACAGATTAATAGAAATGGTCAAACCCTGCTTTAGTTATTTCTATGGAAACTGCTGGGGTTTGTAGGAATGCAGCTTTTCTAAAATGCTGGAAGAACAATGTCTGTATGTAGGCCCAATACCACATAAAGTAAGAAAGGGTTGTCTGTCTCCAACCAGGAATCTATGGAATACAGAGTATTGTATATCCACTATTACTGCCTGGAAATATATGCCCCGCAGGACTTATAGCATCTCCCCTGCACTAACTACTAGAAATCAGCCCGGCACAATGTTAGGGTCCCCTTTTTATAGTATTTTAGAGGAAGGGGTGTGGACTTTTACAGTTTTTCTGTCTGTTGCAGAAGGGCTTACAAAACATGGTTTCTCCACGGTAAGGACATTGTCTTTGAAGCATCGGATTGGTAACTGAGACTTAAAGGAACACTATAAGGACCATAACTACAACAGTGTGATGTAGTAGTTATGGTTCACGGAGTACGCTGGTATCCCCCCATTTGCAAGTAGTCAAACCTTTTTGTTAATGGTTTGGCAACTTGTCTTCTGAGGCGTTGGTCTTCTCCTCTACGAGAGCCGAAAACTCTCTGCGTGGATCTAAGCCCCGCGGTACAGGGCTTAGTTCGCTGGTTATGAGCGAACAGCTGATGGCAGGGGTTGGCACAGGAGAGCTATTGGAAGGGCTTGCAGCTCTATGTAGAGGAAGTAAAAGCCTCTTAGTGTAAGATAAGTCACATGACTACCAACCTGTTTAACTACTTACATGGAGGGAACACTAGGGCGCTCATGGCACCATAACCACTACAGTGTGTTGCAGTTGCTATGGTGCTCTGAGTGTACCTGTAATGTGCTAAACTTTGCATTGCAGGATTGGGAGGGAAATGGTTAATAGAGAAGCGTTCTTGTCTCAGAAAGGAGGCTCGGTGACCTGAAGTCTCAGTGGTCGATTTGCAGTATAATGTGGTAGAATAGGGGTTGTTGGAGTAACTTACTGTTAATACGCTGTTAGCTACCCTTGTCACCTTGTTGGTGATTGGACATTCCAGCTATGGAAACCAAATCGAGAGCCACACAAAAGCTTTGGGCCATCAGCTGCACTCAATTTGCTTAGTGAGCAGTCATGAGTTCTGTCCAGACCATAGAGCTTCCCTCACATTGTAATTGTAATTCACCCCTAATACGTCAATATATTTTTGAGGAAGCTTACATTCAGTTTCTGCAAAGAAGAACGGGCACTGTGACCTTCTATTCCCCACAAAGGGGAATTTTACTACTTTTGTATATTCCTGCAAGTTCTTTAATTTCCCTGCTGAATTTAACCAATCTATATGCCCCCACGCTTTATTTAATTCCAGCCATTCTCTGGCCTACAAAATTACAATTCTTCATTGTTTTCAGAAAATAACTGTTAAAGGGATATACTATAGGCTCTAGAATCACTATAGCGTATTGTAGTGTTCCTGGGGCGTACAGGCTGTCCCTGCAGACTCAGCGGTGTAAATGATGCCTCTGTTGAGATAAAACTAAATCAATGCTGGTCATTGATATCAGCAAACACACATTTGCATCCTACAATGCTTGTGGTCAATCCCAGAATGCTTTGCATGGTGTCTTACGCATTGCATTCAGGAACTGAGCCATAAATATTGTGAGATTTCTGCCTATTCAAAAACTCAGCTTTGCTGTCCCTTTCACCCCTTAAGGACCAAACTTCTGGAATAAAAGGGAATCATGACATGTCACACATGTCATGTGTCCTTAAGGGGTTAAGAGTGGTTGGGACAAATGTCCTGCATGATAAAAGTAATCTACCCATTGTAACAGACAATTGCACACGATTAAGATGAAAAGTAAAAGTAAAATTTAAAACTGTATTTTGTGTATTTGTACGCTGTTCCTCAATCTGTATTTAGTATATATTTTGGTCTTTGCAGCAGTGCTGAGAAATTCATGGTCTGGGTATGACCCCAATTCCTATTTCTTTCATATATGTGGAATTCAGTGCAGATTCATTTTGGGTTGAGCACCCCACCCTTCCACCCTAGATACCCCTTTAAAGGAGTTAATCTCCCATGTTAAAATTAGTATAGGACCCACCGATATTGGGGTACTGTAATGTAGTGGTGGTATTAGGGCCGGCCCATTCATAGGTCCCGTGAGATAAATCTGCTGTGCAGGGCCCGAGTCACCTAGTATGATATACTAAAAGGGGTAAGACATTCAAAAAATGGGTTAAAAAAAACAAAAGAGGTAATAAATTCAAACGCAGGTCAAAAGACACACAGGTAAACAGGGCCGTCTATAATATGATTAGGACCCTGGGCAATGCATTTTCTTGGGCCCCATGGGCCCTGTCCCTGCCACTGCCTCACCCCCCAATTACGTCCAACCCGCAATCACACTGACAGACGTACTGGCACATACACACACAGACAGACATTAAAACATTCACAGATACATACTGACACACAAAGTCACTACACACAAATATATACTGGCAGACATACTGACACACACACAGACATACATACATACACAGACACATACATTAACAGATATACTGACACACACACAAACACACACTGACAGATATACTAAAACACACAGACACATACACTGACAGACACATTGACACACACACACAGGCATACTGACATACACACTGACACACACACACAGGCATACTGACATATACACAGACAGACGTAATGGCTGATACAGACAGACATTAAACATTCACAGATATATACTGACACACACATACACTGACATACAAATATATCCTGGCAGACATACTGACACACACAGACACAGACATACATACATACATACACACACAGACACATACACTGACAGACATACTGACTGACACACACATACACACACAGACATACTTACATACACACACAGACATACTGACACACAAAGACATGCTGACACACACACAGACATACTGACATACACACAGACAGACTAGCACATACACACAGACAGACATTAAAACATTCACAGATACATACTGACACACACATACACTGACACACAAATATATCCTGGCAGACATAATGACACACACGTACACACACACACACACACACAGAGACATACCTACATACACACACACAGACATACTGGCATACACACAGACATACTGACACACACACATACACACACAGACATACTGGCATACACACACAGACATACTGGCATACACACAGACATACTGACACACACACACACATACTGGCATACACACAGACATACTGACACACACACACACACACAGACATACTGACACACACACACACACTGACATACTGACACACACACACACACAGACATACTGGCATACACACACAGACATACTGACACACACACACAGACATACTGGCATACACACACAGACGTACTGACACACACACACACACACACACACACACACACACACACACACACACACACACACACACACACACACACACACACACACACACACACACACACAGAGACATACTGGCATACACACAGACATACTGACACACACACAGACAGACCTACTGACATACATTTAGCCACCCTCCAGGTTCTTACCTTTTCCTGGAGGGTGGTTTCCCTGGTCCAGTGGCAGGCTGAGGCAGATGGGAGTTCTCCTCTGGAACTCCCCTCCTCCCTGCCTTCCTCCTCCCGCGCGGCTATCTCCGGTGGGAGGAAGTGACGTCACTTCCTCCCAGCCAGCAGCAGAACCCGAAGAGGGGCCCGGTCGCGCTGTTTAAGCGCCACAGCGCCCGACCGGGCCCCTGCTGACACATGCTCCCCGGGTGGCCCTTAGTGCATGGGCCACCCGGGGAGCCTCCTCAGTGTGCGGGAGCCGCACCGCAGGGGCTGCGCAAATCGCGGGGCCCACAGAGCAGCTGCTCTGGGCCCCAGGAGCAACTGGGCCCGGGGAAGCTGCCCCGTTTGCCCAGCGTTAAAGACGGCCCTGGGACCATTCGGGGGTTGTCCAGACCCTTTTGCAGCCAGAATCTTGGTCTTTCTTCTTAATATCTTGATGTTTCCAATAAAGCTGTAAAGTATCCAAATGGTCCAATTGACAATAACACGAAATTGCTGCAAACCACACCATTCCTGGTGTGGTTTGCAGCAATTTCGTGTTATTGTCAATGTGAGTGAAACCATTATTTATTCTTTTATTGTATACTATTGGACAGACATACTACGCTATTTTGTATATATACCATTGTGTTTTACAGATCATTCAAGGTTTAAGCAGCTCCGACTATCACTTTGTATGTATTTCTATGTATTTATGGTGGTGTAGGGGATACCACATATTAGGTGTATTTAGAGCTGCTCACTTTTTTCTTTCTTCCACTTTATGTATGTAGCGGAAAGCCAATAATAAATCCACGAATTCCGCTGGTTCAGAAACGAATCCACAGTCAAGCGCTGAAAACAACAAGGCAATATCCCCAACCTCCCAATAACCGGACGAGACACATGACAGGCGCACAGTCGGATTTGCCGGCATATGCGCTAACCTTACCCCAACCCCCATTAAAACACGGACACCGGTTATACTGTTGGAAATAATTTGTCCACAGCTTTATTAAATTATTAATAAATAATTAAGGAATAACAAATGGGGTCATTGCCAACAAATCGTAATAATGTTAACCTCCCCCATATACATAACATACCCCTAGCAATGACCCCACAATAATAACAATAGATAACAATATAAATAACATGTTAACACAGAAACTGGCCGTCCAATTTGACCACATTTCCACCAGGTTAAATTGTAGGGGTGTACCGAGACACCGCTACCCACCATATCCATTGTCGGGGTGTACCAAGACACCGCTACCCACCATATCCATTGTAGGGGTGTACCAAGACACCGCTACCCACCAGTTCCAGTGTAGGGTGTACCAAGACACCACCACACCCCCAGGTTCGGAGCCACCGACGGGCTCGAACCTACCAACCACGTGCAACACTGCCCAATCCACACTAAACCTCAGGATGCCCACTTTCTCCTCCATCTACCCTCCGATTTAACCAGGCCATTCCCCGCCGCTGTGAAAAAACGGGAAATCAACTAACCTAACCAAATACAGGGAGGGTGGGAGGGACAACTGACAGGTAAGCTTAGGTTCAGTTAAAATGGCCACTTCACATAATGGCTGGTATAAATACTCCCCTTATGGCTCCGCCCTACCCAGCATGCTAGCTGTCACTAAATTCCTGTGGCTGCTATGCCTACCTCCTGGCTCTGTCAAGGCCTATTCCTCTTAGCTGCGCTGATCCATGGGCTACATGACAGGCGCACAGTCGGATTTGCCGGCATATGCGCTAACCTTACCCCAACCCCCATTAAAACACGGACACAGGTTATACTGTTGGAAATAATTCGTCCACAGCTTTATTAAATTATTAATAAAATAATTAAGGAATAACAAATGGGGTCATTGCCAACAAATCTTAATAATGTTAACCTCCCCCATATACATAACATACCCCTAGCAATGACCCCACAATAATAACAATAGATAACAATCTAAATAACATGTTAACACAGAAACTGGCCGCCCAATTTGACCACATTTCCACCAGGTTAAATTGTAGGGGTGTACCGAGACACCGCTACCCACCATATCCATTGTAGGGGTGTACCAAGACACCGCTACCCACCATATCCATTGTAGGGGTGTACCAAGACACCGCTACCCACCAGTTCCAGTGTAGGGTGTACCAAGACACCACCACACCCCCAGGTTCGGAGCCACCGACGGGCTCGAACCTACCAACCACGTGCAACACTGCCTAATCCACACTAAACCTCAGGATGCCCACTTTCTCCTCCATCTACCCTCCGATTTAACCAGGCCATTCCCCGCCACAGCTCAGGACTTGACACCTAAAGCTCCTGAGCGACCCCCACCACACCGGAATAAGGCCTTTTGAATGCCTTCCTGAAGGCCCAATTTAAACAGATCACACCTTACATCCGAAAATGTACCCCATCCCACCTGGAGTACCCAGGGAGCTTTCCTCCCAATTCGTTGTGTCTCACTGTTACACCGCCATCAATTTTTTATTAAGTCGTCCTCGACACCGAGCTACCACGGCCGGGTACGTAGTATGTCTCCAATGTAACCAAGGAACCATCTCGGACCGCACCACCACCACACCCGTGGCCAGCTCCCATAGCTGGTCCACCTCCCTCTGCCTCCACCTGATCAATTCCTTTTCCGGGACCATGCCAATATCCAGAATGTCCTGGAAAGTACCCTTTGTTACCTCCCGGAAAAATTTCTCCCCTAATGTCTTGCCACCAAAATCCCTGAAAAGCAAAACCACTCCTGCTCCACCAATTTCAAAGGAAAGCCCAGTTACGTTTGAACTGAAACGCGGCTCCCATCTGTGCCCCTTAGATATAAGAATGACCCACCAACCATGTCACCAAACCTGAAACGAAAGTAATTAGCGACACGGCATAGCCCCAAACACAAACCCATACGTCCATAGCCATTAAACCAAATAGACTGGCCTGAAACAGGACTTAAACCGTACTGACTCCCACCTGCCTAAACGTTTCCCTAGGTCCTCACTTAAAACCAGGTGGGGTGCCTCTGTTACCGCCATCACCTGGGAAGAATGGGTCCCAAAGTGCCCGGGATCCAAACCTAACATTGTCAAACACCTGCGGGAATTGAATCGTGACAGCACCGATCTGTCCCCTTTTACCAGTAAGCCACCCGGGATGTCCGGGCAAAGCTCCAAGTAGCATGATGCGCTTAACACCGGGCGTACCCCTGACCCCGGCAGGGAATATAGCTTTACCAAACCTCCTTTACCAGACACATTCGTTCTTGAACAACCCTACTGAATCGTTACCTTAACCGACTAAGGTTCGACAACCAAGTGTAGAACTCCCCAACACCTGCCCGAAGGCACTCACCAGTTCCCCAATCCAAATTGCCCCAAGCCTCCGAAAAGGCCACCGCAAGCAAACTCACTGCAAAAGTAGGGTAATACACCACCAGGCGTTGCGTTACCCAAGGAAACCCGCCACCGACATATTTCATATCTCTCCGTAAGACCCGCGATGCCTGACGGACGTGACAACGTTCCGTCACTTCCTCCCAATCAGTCAGTTTAAACCCTAACGACAATGCCACCATGCTCCTGTCCCTTGCTGATGGAGCTAACGCTGAACAAACAAACGGCTTAGGAACCACCGCAAGGTATCCCTTCGCCCCTCCTTTGACTGGGCCCCCACAGTGAAACCAACCGCCTTGTCCCACATATCTAAAACGTTCACATAGGCAGTCCCTCTGCCCGGTGCCATAGGATTCTGTATCGATCCTCCAAGCATGGCGTCTCGAAGCGTCCGTAAACAGCCCCACTGCTTCCGAAGACACCACTTGCTCCCGAAAAAAGGCCTTGCCATTGAAGTCCCTCAAAAAACGATCCCACACCTCTAAGTCCGCCCTCATGTCCGCGGAAACCCTGATATAGTGTGACGGCATCCGTATCCCGCTCGTCGCCCGCGCCAATCATCTACAGAAAACCCTCCCCATGGGTATGACCCTGCACGCAAAGTTCAGGCTCCCTACCAGAGACTGTAATCCCCTCAGCGTCACCTTCCGTGCTCTCCCAATTGTGTGCACCAAGTCTTTCAGCTTGCGCAACTTGTCCTGTGGTAATCTACATTCCCCGATCTCCGAATCGATCTCCAAACCCAGAAAACTAAGACACGTGGCGGGTCCCACGGTCTTGTCCTCCGCCAAAGGAACCCCCATCGTCTGCGCTACCCATTGGAACACTCGTAGTATCTGCTTGCACCGGTCTGAGCCTCGAGGGCCGACACATAAGAAGTCGTCCAGGTAATGCACAACCGTGCCCCCCTCCGATTCCCGTCGCACTACCCATTCCAGAAAAGTGCTAAACTTCTCGAAATAGGCGCACGAGATGGAACAACCCATCAGCAAGCACAGATTCACAAAGAAGCCCCCTTCAAAACAACACCCCAAGGGGTGATGACATGACGGGTGTATGGGAAGCAGCCGAAACGCTGCCTCCACGTCCACCTTCGCCATCAGCGCTCCCCGCCCAGCTCTCCGTACCAACTCGACTGCCCTGTCAAATGATGTGTAAGATACTGAACAGAGTGCTGCGTCGATGTCATCATTCACCGATGACCCTTTAGGATACGATAAATGATGAATCAACCTAAACTTGCCAGCCTCTTTTGTAGGGACCACTCCAAGTGGGGATATCCGCAACTCCGCTATAGGAGGATACGGGAACGGCCCCGCCATCCTCCCCAAAAGGACCTCTTTGGCCATCTTTTCCCGCACTACCTCCGGGCGTTCCTGCACCGATTTAAGATTGGCACAAACCGCCCCTGGTTCCTTAACCGTGAAGGGGATCACGAAGCACTCCCTAAAACCCCGCCACAGGAACGCTGCATCCTCCTGGTTAGCGTATTGCCTTAGCCAAGGCAACATCGCTCCTAACCTCACTGGGGACGCCCCCAGTTGCAGCCGAGGTGGCCGCCACCCCTGCGGTTCCACCCCCTGCATTGAGCTTACCTTTCTTGAAGCATCTGCTGGCACCGTGACCCTCGTTGTACGTCCAGCAC